GCCGGGCAGACGATCTGTCCGGGCATACGGACTGCCGGGCAGCCGGCCTGCCGGCAAGACGGTCTGCTCGGGAAGACCAGACTGCCGGGCAGCCGTCTGCCGGGAAGACAGACTGCCGGGGCAGTCGGTCTGCCGGGAAAGACAGACTGCCGGGCAGGAGGACTGCCGGGCAGGTAGGACTCGCGACAGACGGGCACTGACGGGCAGACGGACTGACGGACTTGCCGGGCAGACGGCACTGACGGACTGCCGGGCAGACGGACTGACGGACTGCCGGGCCAGACGGACTGACGGACTTGCCGGGCAGACGACTGACGACTGCCGGGCAGACGGACTGACGGATTGCCGGCAGACGGACTGACGGACTGCCGGGCAACGGAGCTGGCCGGGCAGACGGGACTGACGACTGCGGGCAGTACGACTGTCCGGGCAGACGGACTGGCGGCGGGTCGGGCAGACGACTGACGGGGCGGGCGGGCAGACGGACCTGACGGGCGGCAGACGGACTGCCGGGCGCATACGACTACGGACAAGACGGACAAACGGACTTTCGGCGAGCAATACGGACTCGTTGGCGAGCAAACGGACTCGGGCGAGCAAACGGACTCCGGCGAGCAAACGGACTCGGGCGAGCACAACGGACCTGGGCTGAGCAAACGGACTCGGTGCGAGCAAACTGGACTTCGGCGAGCAAACGACTCGGGCGAGCAACACGGACCGGCGCGAGCAAACGGACTTCGGGCGAGCAAACGACCTTCGGGCGAGCAAACGGACTCGGGCGAGCAAACGAGTCCGTCTGCCCGGCAGTCCGTCAGTCCGTCTGCCCGGCAGTCCGTCCGTGTTTAACGCTAGTGCCTTAATAGTTCTGTCGATTTTCTCTAAAATTGTCATTCCCCTTTATATAATTTAAAGGTTATCCCCGTTTATGTATAAATTATATTTCTATCCTAACGAACTCGAGGCCCTGCAAATATGAAACATATTTTAATTTTTGGGAGTATTTTACATGTAGTCCCAATAGTTTCAATTATTTTTCAAGGATGGTTACCCAATTTTTTTATTAAACTTTGTCCTTATATAGTGAGAGGGACTTTTAAAAAATGTTGAGGGTGGTCTCACTTTTGTTGAATTTTTTTTTGAAATTGCAAAGAATTCAAAAAATTTCAGAAATTTCCTGCAGTTACTATATTAATGACTCTTTTTTTCTTAATTAAATCGGTTCTTCAAAGACTTCTTGAATATCCATATGTAAATATACCTAAGTTCTAGTTTTCGAAGATACAAGAGGTTTTCGTCTAATTTTTCTCGAAATGTAGGCAATTTTTAAACAATTTTTTTCTCAAAAACTAAAATTATTTCCTCTATAGAACTCTTTGTTTTTGAAATTTTCAAGAAATCTACAAGTACAATTTTATTGTACAATAATAAAAATAGATACTTTTATTTAATGAAATATGTTTCAAAAACTAGATCTTAAAGTAATCACATTTACTTTGATAATATGAATATGTGGATTTTGTATTTTCGAAATAGCAGATTTGAATTTCCCGCTTTTTCCCCCCCATAATCTTTCAGTGTCATCAGATTGCAATAAAATGGGAACTCCACGTCCCGGCAGTTAAACATTCCCAAAATAACTATTGTCAGCCGTGTGTCTCACTGAATGGAACGCAGTTCTGTATTGTTGAATTTGTGATGTTATATTAGCTTTTAATGATTTAATTTTTCACCCCAAGTGAGTGACTAGTAATGAGTTTTATCTGTGATGACTGAAATGTTTTAATAAGGACAGAAATTGAGGTATTCTAATTTTATGAAACCATTACTGATTTGAGCAAGTATGCTGTGGTGGAGCACCAATTAGTCTTATCAGAACATTAACCAAGAATTAATAAGCCTGTGTTTATTTTTTAAATTTCATTGTGACAGATTTGCTGTGATAGAAAATGTGTAAGCTGCATCCTACTTGCATGCAATATATTTATAAAATGAACTTTCAGCCATCTCATAAGAAAATACAGTGCGAGTACAAACTCATTGTATGGAATAAAAATTTTAACGCCTTCCAGAGATCTTTTAATATTGTATTTTCCATCCCACACATCTTTTCATGACATTAATGCTTCACAGGAAGAATCCATACCTGAAGTTCCAGTTGTACCAGAGACAAATACTGCGTTACAACCTCAACCTGCTGCTCGGATCTCTGTGCACTTGGAGACAGAAGAAATGGAAGAAATAGAGCAAGCTGCAACAAATCTACTTGCCCAGTCACCAACCACAGCTGAAACTCAACTAATTCACACTCAAGCAACTCCAGCTCCTTCGTCGATATCTGTCCCTGCATCAGCCCCATCAGTGCAGCAGTCTCAGGAACCAGAATTGGAAGTTGATAGAGAACCATCTGCTGCTGAGCTAGAAGTGTACAGAGAGCTGGAACAGCAGGCTGCAGCTGATCTTGAAGAAGATGATACAGGTTACACTGCAGTAGCTCTCTACGATTATCAAGCAGGTAAAATTCAAGATCTATATCTTAAGACTGGCACAACAAATACTGCACCGTGTGCAATACATTTCGCTCTCCCAGAACTCACATCATGCTACACCTTCCCAGAACACCATGCCTTTTCACAACATGCCATGCCACACCATGCTACACCATGCTACTCCACACCACACCACACCACTCCACACCTCACCACTCCACACCACACCACTCCACACCTCACCACTCCACACCACACCACTCCACACCACTCCACACCACTCCACACCA